TCACAAAAATATAGGAAATCTTTGTGTCTTTAAAGTGAACAGCAAAAAACAAAAAAAAATATGAGTCAGAAATCATCATTTGTATTGGCTTAATAAAAATTTTTTATTCAATATACACCCTTGTGCAAATTGAAACAACGGCGTTAGTTTCTTTTCTTTCACCATACGGTCAATTTTAGACCTACTGGAGTGACAGGGTGTAATCAATTCCTATTTTTCCTCAGATTAGGTCATTTGCTGTGGTGTGCATTAATATAAATCTATTTTCGGGTTGTATGATGAAATATGTTTGGCCTTGAAAAATATCGCGTCATCTTTAATTGCATCAGAATTTTATCACGCCCAGACACTACTGTCTCGACTGTCAATTAGTTGTCCTACGGCCATTGTCTGCGATGGGCGTTACTCCAAGGAAGCGTACGAAAATTGTAACGCTGAACGAACACACTGGCAAGTATTACCAGTAAGCAAATCAAAGTACTAGACTGGCCTGGAAACTTTCCTGATTTAAATCCAATCAAGAATTTGTGGTCAATCTGCAAGCAACGACTTCGTGGAATGAACATACGAAGTACTAACATGGACACTGGGTCATATTTCATTGGAAAAATACGAAAACAAAGTAAATAATAACAGAATTATTTATTTTGTTTCAATTAATTTACACAAGAGTGTATAATTTAATTATTTTTTTAAATTTCGACATAAACTTTATTGAACGACATATTTTAATGTTTTGTTTCACTTTTATTGCCTTTTTTTCAAGCAACTTCATTAATCCAACCACTCAAATCTTTTTTCATCTTTCTCAGTAAAGAATGTCTCGAGGTATGTTTTATAATCTTCCAAGAAATTTTGTTTCATTAAGATAATTACGTAAACATCGGATTAAATACTAATGCTGAACGTAAAATTGAACATGGCACTTGAGTGAAAATATATTGGTTGTCACCAAAGAAATATGCAGTTTAGTGTAATTCAGATGGAAAATTATACCCTTTCTATTCATTCTAAGGACATTTAGTCCGACAGTTGCAGCTTTCAAGTAACACGCGGTATAACAATCAAGTATTGTTTCGCTTCATCCATGTGGAAGTCACTCATCAAAATGACTAACGTAGTCAAATGAAAATAATTATCAACACATAATTTTGATCTTTTTAGAATGTTACCTATATCTATGCTGGACACATTTCGGCTTTAAATTTCTGCTTACAAATAACACATGTTATATGAGTCTGGTATTTTTTCACTTACATTATGTGGAAGCCACACTTCAAAACGCCTAACATAGCCGACTGTAAATAATCTTTAACGTTTTATTTGGATCTTTATACCGGGGTATCGGGTGCTGTAAGCTTAGATTGGTGGGTGTTGTAATAGATAACAGTTCAGAATTGGAAATTGGTGAGCCGAGTTCCAATTTCAATCGGGTTAGTTATATTCACTTACCCGCAAAAACCCTTGGGAAAGGCATGAATCCGCCTGTTCCTCCGTCAGATATGGTTTAATTAGTAAGATTTCCACCAATAAATCATTATTATCTCCATATTTACAATCTGAAAATATTTTCTGGCTTTAAATAACCTGCAAAGGGTTGATAAGCCGTAAAAAGCAAATCAAATAAATAATAGGAAGGTAGATCACAAGAATTCAAAAATTGTATACTTTGTTGCGATCCTTTCTACCAGCTGTGGGACTATTAATAAAAAAAAATGTCTAAATTTACTTAATTAAAATGTTAAATTAATTTTATTTAAATGTTAAATTAAATTATAGATTAATTTTTATAAATAATATAAATAATAAAAATAATTTATCAGAAAATAAAAAAAAAAATTATCAGAAAAAAATAAATTAAAATCCCATTTTTATCAGAAAAAATAATTTATCAGAAAAATAAAAATAAATTACTTCCATATATAAATAATAAATATAAAAAAATTTTAAATTAAATTATAGATTAATTATTTATAGATTAATTATTTATATATAAAAATTAAATTATAGATTAATTTAAATATTAAAATTATTAAAAATGCTAAATTAAAATTTAAAAATGTTAAAATAAAAAAGTTTAATTAAAATGTTAATTAAAAAAACTATCTATAAATATGATTTTAATTTATTCAAATTAACTTTCAAGAAATTCAATGGCTACAAAATCAAATTTCCCGCTTCTATCGTTATCAAAAGCTAGAGCGTTTGTATCGTCCCTCCATTCTGATAGATTTATATCAGCTTTATTGCTGGCATTAATGATTGATGCTTTTCACTTCAAGACCTTTGAGATGATGCAGATTAAACACCTTTTTCTGGCCACACTAATGTATCAGCCGATATACAAAAATAGAATAGCGTGTATCTTCTCATCGGACTTATTCAACGTATACAGCGAGGCAATTTTGAGAGAATTAGATGTCCTACTAGGGTTCAGTAATGGCGGACACAATCATAACAACATAAGTTATGCAGATGACAAACGCTCCTACAGAAGGTAGCAAAGGAAAGCGAGAAGAAAAGATTAACGTAAACTATAAGAAGACAGAATGAATGGTTATCAGCAAAGTATGAGCCCAAAATGGAAATTACAAATCGGAGATACCAAAATCAACCAAGCACAAAAATTTAAATATCTGGGAAGTCAGAATGTGTGACAATGAGATCCGAAGACTTATTGGGATAGGCAAAGATGCATTTCAAAAGTTAAGCAGAGTATTAAAAGACAGAAAACCTTCGTTAGAAACGAAGAAAAGAGTGTTATGTGATATCAGTTTTACTATATGGCAGTGAATACTGGACAATTTTCTCAGAGATGAAGAAGAGACTTAAAGCAACAGATATATGGTTCTACGGAAAGATACTGAGAATACCATGGACCAAATGTGAGCAACGATAAGGTTTTAGAGAAAACGGAAACAAAAAGGAAACTTATACTTAACATCTGGAGTACATAGTGAGGAAGGAGGGCTTGGAAAATCTGATACTCACATGACAGATTGAGAGCAAGAAGGACAAAGTTAAACAACGCATAACATATTTGAGGAGCTTGAGAAAATGGATGGCGGAAGAAGCGCTAGGAGAAAAACAGAATTTATTTAAAGCAGGAAATTCTGGAGTATTATGATTGCTTACTACCTGAACGTATCAGTAGAAATGCCATTTACAAATATCTTTCTTTCCTGGCAGTTTGATAATGTTATACAGATTTTAACATATATTTGCTCTGAAACTATATGCCTGCATTAAGTATAAGAAATGCTTAAAAGCTTCGGCTCACGCTACCATCTATCTATCGTTATAGCTTATAACTTGCTATATTTATGGGTAAAGAGTGATCAATATCGGGGATAGTGCGTATATATATATATATATGTGTGTGTGTGTGTGTGTGTGTGTGTGTGTGTGTGTGTGTGTGTGTGTGTGTGTGTGTGAAAAGTGTATATAAATATTAATAAATATAAGTATGTATAATTATTTATATATTATATGGCGGCGGTACTTATTAGAAGCGCTCAATATCAGAGATAGACATTAACAATATTTGGTTGGATAGATTTAGTTTGACGACCTGGGTTTGAAACCCAGGGTCACAAACTCACATCTATCCAAGCGTGATATATATATATATATATATATATATATATATATATATATATAGAGAGAGAGAGAGAGAGAGAGAGAGAGAGAGAGAGAAGTATGGCCATAGAAATCAACGTTGTATGGTGACTGGCAGTTTCATGCCTTAAGCTATCATCAATTTAATGTTGATTTCTGTGTATCCACTGTTATATACACTTTTTTTTATTAGCATCAGGTAATTTTAGTTGGGCTTGGTTATGCTTAACATTTTGTCAAGTGTGAGCTTTCTTTCATATTAATTTCATGTTTAAAATATATTCCTAATTAGAAAAGAAATTTCGGTTACTTTCTGTAGGTTACGTTATGAAACCTGAGCCTCACATCATGCTTAAAATATGAACAAATTTCGACTAAGTTTAGCCTTATACTTAGAAGCTTCATGCTAATAAAATAACTCTTACTTATTTTTATTATATATATATATATATATATATATATATATATATATAAACAATAAAACCAATAAAACTGTCAAAGTGACCAGAGGAATTCAGAGAATCATACATCCATCCAGTTCTTATCTCAAATAACAACTTAAAAGAGACTGTTTGACCAACACAAGGAGTGTTAAAAGATTCATGTTAAAAGGACAAAAAAACAAATGAAAACTACAGACAAAAGTTCATTTTCTCCAGCAAGATATTCATTTCTGTAGTTTACTGCTACCAGCAAGCAGAAATATTTCTTCTCCTGATGATGGCCATTTTGGTCGAAACTAGTGGAGGAATCTAAATGGAATAATAATAAAAAAAACGAAAGAATATTAATCTACAACCCAGTGTATCTGAAGATTTTAATTTTTTAATATTTTTATTGTTCAATATATATATATATATATATGAGATAACGATACATATTTTTATATATCACGAACAGTACTGAACGAGAGTTGCTCGTTGTTTCAAAACTTTTGAAAGAATTAAAAAAAATAAATTATTTTAAAAACATTTTTTCAAAAATTTTGAAACTACAAGCAACTCTTGTTCATGCGCATGAACAACGTCAACAAACCCAATCCGATGAAACGCGTCACAAGTAAACTTTTTGTATTTTGTCTTACAATTTCCTCAGTACATATGTATGTATGTGTAGATAGATAAATAGATAGCTATGAGTGTTGTTAAAAACCAGAAAATATTTTTAGATTGGAAGAATTTTAATGCGGAGATACTAATAATTTAGTGATACAAGTCCTACTAATTAACACATAGCTGGGGTGAGAAGAGGTGGATTGATAACTTTTCCAAGGCTATTTGCGCATCAGTGAATATAACGAACGCGGTTGGAATTGGAACCCAGCTCTTCAGTTTCCAATTCCTAGCTATTATCCATTACACCATCCGCACATTCAAGCTGACAGTATTCCCAAGCGGTCACCCATCTAGGTACTGACCAGGCACCACTTTGCTTAACTTCGGTGATCATACGAGAACCAGTGTTTCAACGTTATTTAGTCGTAAGCCCGACAGACAGACAGAAGCCAGACAGACAGACAGATAGATGCGAACAGACTGGGGTAGACAGATACGAACAGACTGAGGTAGATAGATACGAACAGATTGAGATAGATAGATAGATAGATAGATAGATAGATATGAACAGACTGAGACAGATAGATAAATAACTAGATAGATACGAATAGACTGAGATAGATAGATAGATAGATAGATAGATAGATAGATAGATAGATAGATAGATAGATATGAACAGACTGAGACAGATAGATAAATAACTAGATAGATACGAATAGACTGAGATAGATAGATAGATAGATAGATAGATAGATAGATAGATAGATAGATAGGATAGATAGGAAGGAAGGGAGGGAGGTCATCCAATCAAAGAGTGAAGTAAAAAAATTACTTTATATTTAATTTAAATAAATTGTTTCATCTGTTTTTTTCAGTACTAGGCTCTATAGACCCCTCCCCCACTTGAGTCTTAGGGGCATCAAATCAAGGAGTTAGCCTTGGGCATCACCAAACCTTTGTCATTGAGATGAGGTATTGTAATTATTTACTCTATTTACAATGTTCGGATTGTTATCCTCAGCTTTGTGGCCATATTCACGACGTTTCGACCGTTGTACGTTCCGGCCTTCTTCAGGTGATTGGAATTTCGAACCGAACCCTTTATTTCGTCTACCGGGTAGATTGTTCTACTTCCATGTAACATACCTCTTCCGGATATCTCAGTATCAGTTATTTCCCTTTAAGTCAACTATCCAAGTTTTTGTTCACTTCTGCTGTAGCCAGGAATTGAAATCACATAAGGAGGATAACAGTCCGAACATTTTAAATAGTGTATCACCAGACCTCTGCACGTCACTGACTGTAACAATTACCGTCTGTAACACTTCGGTGTAAGACTATAGTTTCACTTTTAATATTTATGTCTAGACAAGACAAATATTTGTGATTTTTGAAAAAGTGATTTCAATGAAAAAATTTTCATAGAAAATATATTTTCTACTTTTTATATTATTTGAATTGGAATCTTACCAGGAAGAAATATAATCTATTTTGTTTATTTTTATGATAGTAATTGATTCAGGCAGTTAATGTAAACATAAAATCCGTCCATCAAGTGCATTATGTCAATAACAAATTTTTAACTGACAACAAAAATTATAAAATAGATATTTCTTAGATATATATTACACTTTTGTATAAGTTACTGTGGGTGAATTTAATTGTACTTTGTTTTATAAAGTAAATAATCCATCGACAATAAAGACATACATTTATTCTTGTAGTAATGATTCAATCAGCAGGAATCATTTACTTTTTTCAGTACGATATTCTTTCAGGATAAAGGTGAGATAATAAATCTCCATATATCTTTCTTTATTAATTATAAATTGCCATAACTTCTTCGGAAAGATAACGGAGTTGTTTTCCAATATCTTCACCATAGTTTATAGTAGTGGTCACAGAAACGATATGATTTTTATACTTTTGAACCAGCGATAATCAACTTTTCCCCTTCTGGACATAGGCAATCATGACTCTCCACACATCTTTTTTTATTAACTGTGAATTGCCATAACCTATTCGGAAAGATAATGGATTTGTTTTCCAATGTCTCCTCCATGTTTTATGACAGTGGTCACAGAGACGATGTAATATTTTTACTTTTGACCCTGTGATAATCAGCTTTTGCTCTTCTGGAGATAGGTGATCATGACTCTCCACATATCTCTCTTTATTAACTGCGAATTGCCATAACTTCTTCGGAAAGATAACGGAGTTGTTTTCCAATATCTTCACCATGGTTTATGGCAGTGGTCACAGAGACGATGTGATTTTTATACTTTTGAACCAGCGATAATCAACTTTTACCCAGCGATAATCAACCTTTGCTCTTTAGGACATAGGCGATCATGACTCTCCACAGATAAGGGAGTTCTTTACTAGTGTTTTCTCTGTGGTTTGTGACAGATTGCTTTTTATTCATCCAGGTTTCGAATCACATTTTCACCACATCCCAAAAGTGCTCTTTGGGATTGAGATTCGATGACCGGAGGACACTTTAACTCATTGCTGTGCTCTATGAATCAATCTGTTACTATTTTTGGTTTGTGACACAGTGCATTGATCTGCATTTCCCTACATTTGTTTTTACGTTTTTATTGTAAGGTGGTTTAAACCATGCGATGTTTCTTTTCCTGTTGGCTTGTTTGTAATGTGTTGTGCGTATATGAGTTTTACCGAAAATCCACTATCTTTTAGAGCTGTTTCGTAATGTTTTTTTTTTTTTTTTGGCTTCGTTGAATACGTTGAAGTATAGGTTTCATTAGAAGAATTGTCAGAAAACCTGCAGTTAATTGATTGTGGAATCTGCTTGATTATTGTTGTCGGGTGCTTAGAAGATGTGTATATGTGAAATGGTTTGTCGTTGGGTTTTCTATATAGTTGATTTTCTATATGGTTGATATTTGTGTGACGTCTATGAAATCTTTTAGGTTTGTTTTTTTTTTATGTCTCTCGAATCCTATATTCTTTTAAAAAAATGTTTATGCTAATTTTTCTTGTTTTTTCTGTAACAGTTTCACAGGATTATGGCACCGTCGGCCCTGTAGACATTTATATCATTTCGATTATTTTGTTGAGTTTATGCAGTAAATGTATACCTATAAGCTATCATCAAAACACTGTCATGTCGAACGTTCCTTCTTTCTTGGGCCAGGCGTCTTTGTTGTGATTTTCGACAGGGCTTAATTATTTTTACTTCGTTTGTGCTTATTTTTATTTGTTCTTGAGCTAAGGGGTGGCTAATTCTAGCCTGGATTCAATTATTGAAGGGTATAAATCATTTGTTATTAGTTGTATAAATTCGCAATTAAGTTTGCTTTACTGAACCAGTCGATGGTTGTTGGTATTTTTTTGCGTTTGCCCACTGGTTTACTCCTAATTTCGTTCTTAGTTCTGAGTTAATTATTTCTCGTATTATTTTACTTATCTTACTTTTAGTTGGGCTTATGTTTCTGCGCGTTCGGTTTGTTTGGAAGTTTTCTTTGTGGTCTTTTAATGTAATGAATGGTTGTGATTTAGCGATGAAATTCATTTGGTCGTCTAAGTCTAATATTTGGGCGATTTTTTAGCTTCCATGTTATCGTATTCTGTAGTTTCTTGTGCTTTTCTATATCTTTTACTTATGTTGTCTTTGATTCCAATCAATTTAAATTTGGTTTGAAATGAAGCTGAATATTTTGCTTATTGGAAATATTAAATTTAATCTATTAGCTTGGAATTAAAACTAAAATAAAAGCTTACACACACACACACACACACACACATATATATATATATATATGTGTGTGTGTGTGTGTGTCAGATGCGATGAGAACGAAAGTAATATATAAATTCCAACGTCCACAGCATCAATCCAAAAGAGGGCTCGATACCGATAGTAGAGTGATAATTATTTATATATTATAATTTCATCATAAAAACAAAGACAAAACCATTTTACTCACTACAAAGATGCAACTTCGTTTCAGTGCATGTTATGTTAGGTGAGAATCGAAATGGTTGTAGATAACCATTTTCGATTCTCACCCGTCGAAGTGCAGTTGAAATGCACTGAAACGAAGTTGCATCTTTGGGTGAGTAAAAATGGTTTTGTCTATATGATGAAATTATAATATATATATATATATATATATATATATATATATATATATATATATATATATATAATATGTGGTGCAGTTCAACTTATATTACAATGAATCATTCATACAAAAAGTAAATTAGTAAAGTTAATGATATTAAATGGCGAAATCTCTTCGCTAACAAAATTTTAAAGATACATTAACCTACTAATCACTCGATGAATGCTATGATCCTTTATTTAAGAAAGACCTTATACAACTTATAATTTAAAAAAAAAAAACAAGTATCATCTATCTACCCAGTTTGTATAAAAGCTGATTCGTTTGTGGAAGCAGCCGTTTGTACGAAATATCGTGAATTTCTCCAATTAATAACTACTTTGCCGATTTTGAAGTTATAAAATGAATGGTAAGGCTGATTTGACGAATAAAGAGAAATGCTTGTAAAAATTAAAAATAAATCATGGCACTTACTACGAACTGTGAAGTTCGTTGAAAATTCTGGATAATACTAATGCAGGCTTGCGACTGTTCGCTCATTATAACATTTAATTGCAATACAATGTTTCTTGGAATTTAAATAACATATCTTATAGTGGGAAGCTTGAAAAATCCCGTAAAATTCATAAAATTATTACCATATCGTAAGAGTGACATTTAGTCTACTATTTTTATACATATCTTTAGAAATATTCTGTCCATTAATTGTGAAAATATTTGTGTAAATTCCTTCTTTAATTTTCTAAACATGAGATAAACTTAGAGATAGAGAAAGTGGTAGAGAAAGAGAGAGATAGAGAGAGATAGAGAGAGATGCGAATAAATTAAGATAGATATCAACAGATTTAGATGTTACCGAAAAAATTCTTTTCATTCTAAAACTTTAAAAGCCTATCACCATTTAACTTGCCGAAAAACTAATAATCTACATTCTGTATTTCAACTTGAAAGAGTTGGAAAAATTCCCAGCGAAATGTAAAGCGAAACAATATTCGTGAAAATAAACAAAAGAATGAAACAATCAGCATTGAAATGACGGAAAGTTCACAACAAAGGCATGACTTTTAAAAGATAAATGAGTAACGAGCCAATCACTGAATATCATAAAATAAAACCGTAGAACGTTATCTAATTGCCAAAAAATAAGAGAAAATTCGGTCACGCGCGTACTGACACACAGATAGATAGATAGATAGATAGATAGATAGATAGATAGATCGTTTCAAGTTTGTAATATTTATGGGTAAAAGAGTGCTCAATACCGGAGATAAAGCACTTTTAAATATAGAATGATAACTCTCAGTTTCATACCTCAACCTAATTTCACATCAGACAGACAGACAGACAGATAGATAGATAGATAGATAGATAGATAGTTTCAAATTTGTACTATTTATGGGTAAAAGAGTGCTCAATATCAGAGACAGAGCACTTTTAAATATAAAAATGGTAACTCTCAATTTCATACCTCAACCTACTTTCACATCAGATAGACAGATAGACAGACAGACAGATAGACAGAGGAACAGACAGACAGACAGACAGATAGATAGATAGATAGATAGATAGATAGATAGATAGTTTAGATTTTTTTCTATTTATGGGTAAAAGAGTGCTCAATAGCGGAGACAGAGCACTTTTAAAGGTAAAATGATAACTCTCAGTTTCATGCCTCAACTTAATTTCACATCAGATAGACAGACAGATAGATAGACAGACAGATAGATAGATAGATAGATAGATAGATAGATAGATAGTTTCAAATTTGTACTAATTATTCAGTGCTCAGCGGAGACAGAGCACTTTTAAATACAAAATGATAACTCTCAGTTTCATAAACATCACATCAGACATACAGACAGACAGATAGATAGACAGACAGACAGACAGACAGACAAGCAGACAGATAGATAGATAGTTTCAAATTTGTACTATTTATGGGTAAAAGAGTGCTCAATAGCGGAGACAGAGCATTTTTAAATATAAAATGATAACTCTCAGTTTCATGCCTCAACTTACTTTCACATTAGATCGACAAACAGATAGATAGATAGATAGATAGATAGATAGATAGATAGATTGTTTGAAATTTGTAATATTTATCGTGAAAGAGTGCTCAATATCGGAGACTGTGCACTTTTAGATATAGAGTCAGCCTACATCCACATCATATAGATAGATAGATAGATAGATATGTGTGTCTGTATGTGTGTGTGTGCGTGTTTGTTAAGCAAAGGACGCCAGCTATGAAGCAATATTTAACAAGCTCGTCTCGCAGACCATTACTAGTGTAATACGTGAGTTTCATTGAGAGCTGTTCGATTTAAGCCTTGAATCAGATGAAGCTTAATATACATAAACACGCACGCGCACATGCGTGTGTGTGTGTGTGTGCGTGTGTGTGTGTGCTGCTTTAGTGGACGTTCGTAAGCAAGTCGTGCATACCATTGTTAGTGCATTGATTTCGATTCAGAAGTGTCCCCATTGTCTTGGCCTAGTGCCAGTCTATATTAATTAAATAGTCACTTGCAGTTCAGCTAATATTATGTGGATAATATTGTATTTATATGTGCAGAGAAACTGGTTGTTTTGTGGATGAAAACAAGTAAAAGTTGGATTTTTTCTGAATATTATTATTAAGATCTTTGATATCTTCTGCAACTCTAAACTGTTTTGGTTGGGTGATGATGGTCATATTTCAGTTCCTACCCAAGGCTTAGAGACACAATATTTTTCTCCGTAGATGAGCGATTCCAATCAGCGCTGCCACCTGCGCACTTCCAATAATATCAGGTATCCCCAAGGCGTCTTGTGAGACAAAGTGATTATTAGGGATAGTCCCACGTGCACTATCTACAAAAGGGACAACTTGAGCTGCTGCTGCTACTGCTACTGCTACATTTCTCTGATTTGCTCTGCCAGGTGCTTGTTATGTCATTTCATTTGCTCCGCCTTCACAATATTCTACCCAATGTATTATTAATACTACTACTACTAATAATAATAATACTGAAAACAGAAATTGGTATGAACACCACCCAGATTCGGTTACAGAGATAAGACCTGTAACAATTTTATGGGAGTACACAATACACACAGAAAGGACAATCAAAGCTAACCATTGCAGACATTGTTATTTGAGACCGAAAAAAAAAAGTGCCTCCTTATTGATATGGCAGTCCCTGCAGACTGCAATTTATCTTTGAATATCTTCAAAAAGCTATCAAAATACCAGAACATTGAAATCAAAATCTCAAAAATGTGGTACATGAGAACATCAACAATCTCTGTTGTAGTTGGAGCCCTCGGATTGGTCGGAAAATATTCCAGATTCTGGAAGCCCATGCCTTAAAGAAATACAAAAAATTGTTCTCACGAGTACAGCCCACACCTTACGAAGGGCTTTATCTATGTAAAATATGTGTGTGTTTTTTTTAATTGGTCAGTGGAAAATATCTTGATGCCATTTCTAACCTTAGGTCTCTGAGCGGGACCCGGTAAGAAATGTGTACACACCAGAAATCAAAGGAAATAAAATAAAAACAATAATAATAATAATTCCTCATTCACGCGCAGCATATAATGTGAGTATCTGGTAAGAATTTAATTTTCAGGTCACCTATTTTGACTTAAGAAAATAAACCCTTTATTTGTTCTTTTTAGCGACAGTTTGTATCCCATAATTTTCGATGTAGAGTTGCTCTTCCGGGCAGGTATGCTTTTTACTGGCCCTATTTCGAAATCATAATTCAATATCTGCAAGATTTTTTTCATTTTTTGTTTAAAAGAAAAACCCAGTGCTCCAATAATCATTGGTACTGTAATTACTTTCTTTACCAGTCCTTCCTGAACTTCCAAAATGTTGTGCTAAACTCTCTTACAGTAGACGGGAGCGCAGAGTGTGAAGTGGAGTGGAGTAGTAGACGCAGTGCTAATCTACTTATTACTAACACTATTGCTTTGTATATATCTTCAATATATTTTTTTCGACCTACCTTCGTCTTCCGTGTCTTTCTTTCTGGCCCCTAAACAGGCCACAACAACTTGGCGACGAGGATTTCGCACTTCACAGGGACTCAAAAACAAAAAAAATTGCCGTTGCTAGTGTCCATAACACAAAATTTCATACATTAAAATCGCAGTAAGTGTCAATCATATTTGTTAGGCTTTCAATTCTCATCTCAAATGAAATAGCAAGGACAAGAGAAAAAAATATTCTTTTGACCAACAGTTTTTTTTTGGAGGGGGGGTTCGGGTTTGTGGAAAATTTGTGCAGTATTTTGAAGCGGAAGCTTTAAACTTAGGAACAGGAATTTACCAACAAAGTTTAACTTAACTTTGGAATATTATACTGTATGTTAAACTTTGCCGAAATTATTTTCAAAAAGTTCATCTTTGTCAAAGTTGATTGGTTGTTTCAGCTAAGAAGGTGTCGATGTTGGTTTCTAAATCAAGTGACACAACGTGTAAGACCAATCACGAAGATTCTTTAAATAATATCCAAAAAGAAAACAGGCAATAATATACATTAAAAACAATTTTTTAACACCGACGAATGTTGTGCTACAGTCGATAGACTAGACAGACGGAGAGAAACTGGGTGACTACGGGCGGAAACCACCCAGACTGGATGAGTCGTCAGCTAGGTTAAAGTAGAGTAATCCTTCGAGCCACGATTATAGAAGGCCATGGCAACTTCTAGATTGAGTTAAGATGCCACTTTATATATACGGTATTTTTTATTGATAGCACACGCAGAAAAGAGACACAAGATATTTTTTAGGCATAACAGCACCCCCATTCAGAAAAGAGAACTAAAATATATAAACCTAATTGAAAATTTGTGGAGTATTTTGAAGCGAAAGGTTTAAAGTGAGGGACAGCAATTTACCAACAAAGTTTAACTTAACTTTGGAGAACTATTCTGCATGCTGTGCATATATTTCATACTAGCCTAGAAGCCGCCCTGCGGAGAGCTTCATACTAACCTAGAAGCCGCCCCGCGGAGAGCTTGTGGGCCTTCAGCCTTTTACCTTTCCCGTCCTATTTAGGTAACGGTTATAAGAATTTAGAAATGATAAAGTTATTTTAACTTTATTCGACAACTTAATTCGGCAGAATCTTTCTTCGTATACGCAACTGATCTCCATAGTTTATTTACATTTATTTTGCGCGCAATTTTTATTTTCTTTTAAAATCACCATTCTTTATGGATAAAGTCACTCTTAAAACACATTAGGGAAGCAGAAATATGTAATATTTCGAATACGTCACACTAGTCGTGCTAGAAAAAGAAAAAAAAACATATGAGCAACGTGCTGTGCCCCGCTTATGTTTTAATTATGGTTTATTTAGACAATATCAATTTCGACGAAAAGTGAAATTATAATTAAACCTTTGATAAAGAATTGTTTTTTAAACCTTTCACTCTGTTCGATATTTAAATTTAATTTTAAATGAGTTATTTATTTAATTTTTAATCGCGTGTGACTACAGTAGTTACTACCTATTACTTCAGGTTGTTTATGATTCACCGAAATCGAAAAACGGACGGACCGACGGACACACGTACACTGCGCTTTATTTATATAATTGAAGAAATATAACAGCTCACGAAAACAATTGATGAAAAAGACCAGTTAAATTTTTTTTTCTGTTTGTCGAACACGACCAAATCTGGTTTATTATGCTCTGAAGTTTCTACTGTCTGTATCGGTAGATCCTACAGGATTTTTCCATTGCTATTTTCCAGCATTTTTCTCCTTGTATATTATTAGTAGTAGTATCTCTTCTTCTGCACGGTGTTTCGTTTTCAATTGAAGATTTTGGATTAGAGGCGCACTTCATCAAATAGTACGATCTCAAACAGACAGCACCTTTCGCATAACGTTTACAATGACAAGCAACGCAGACTTCCTAAGCGATAGAATACAAGCGATTTATTCCGATTTTCTACATGTAGCTCTTTCGGTTCGTTAGTACAGACCCCAACACCCTAACAGATAACTAGGAAAATAATGGCCTAAACGTCCGGTATTCTGGCAACCTCAATGCGGAGATCAGTGTACTTTTTAAGCTTTCCAAATTCTTTGGGATTGATATGGTCACCAGAGACAAGCCACTTCGATAGGGACTGATTTTATCATTATTGATAGTAGTAACAGTAGTTGTAGCATTATTAATATTAGTAGTAGTATTTATTTATTTAGGTTCAATAACCAATTAAAATCCCCGATTTTCCTTAATATTTATTGCATATCAAATAGCATCGTATTTTAACTGGAAAAAGAAAGAATTTCTTTATTTTAAACGGTTTTGCTTACACTTATCACACGCATCAATCAACTGATCTTTCCTGGAAATAAAAATACTGGCCATAAATATAAACATTGAAAATTGCGAGTAAAATAAAATAAAATAAACAGAGTTGATTTATTATGAAAGGCCGGCTTTGAAACGGCCGAGAAATTTATTAGAAACGGTTGATTATTTCAATCAAATAATATGCACTCAGTGGAGGTAAAGAGAGATGGATAAAGAATCAGTTTTATATTTACAGATATTGTTTAAAATTCCCGAGCAAATAGATTCTGATGCATTTGTACGGCTGTCCTTATTAGAGTAGTATTTGAGCGAGATTTCTTATGCGTGTTTAAACATAATTGCCACTCGTCTGTGTTGTGCACAGACGAAGTTGGCTGCGCGCGCAATGTATCTAAAAACCTGGCCTTGCAGTTCATGCGTATCTGCGTTTTAGAGTTCATCTCAGCACAGCACCGCATACGAGTATGCGCGTGGCGTATATACTTGCGTATATATTAAAAAACATCTTGTTAGATGCGCCCGAGATGAAGGAAAGACGAGCAAGTGAAGAGTGAATAATTCATAGACTTCACTCAGTGAGTAGATAATTAAGAGTTTGAACAAGAAATGTCTAAGTCTCATTTTTCATACCGCTTTGTTGAAAACGAACATCTGATTTAAGCGAAGCGCAGAAAAGTCTTTCACGGGGAGGAACAATCGAATTAAAAAGACATAGGGGAAAATATACATAAAGAAAACCTAACAAATCGAACTACTAAAAACACATAAAACTAATTAATTAGTCAGAAAATAAATGGCCATTATCACCGGCGTTCTTGTTTTCTCATCCACTTGTCTTTTCTCTCTTCCTCGGCCATTTATCGAACATAACATTCAACAGTTTTTGCCTCTGGACGCATTATGATATCGGCATACATCACTTAGATACAAACATATTTAGATAGGGACAGATGTATATACGTACATCTATGTATATTTGCACATATAATGGTGTTGTATTTGGTGGAAGGTTTTATTCTTTGTCGTTGTTGTTGTTGTTGTTGTTGTTGTCGTTCATTTTTCATATTCGTCTTCCCCTTTCGCCTTTTGAATTATTCATTTTTTTTTCTCTGTCCGCATTTATAAATTGATTAAATCATTTTAGCCGGATCTTTGTTTAATCTGCTTTCTATTCCGCCATTTTCCCCATCTTCTGGCGAGTTTCACAAATAAATAGCTCCTGCCACGTCTTCTCCATTTCCCTCTCCCCAACAACAACAACAACAACAGCAAAAACAATCATTGTAAGCCTTTTTCTGGTCCTCAAGTCCATCTTCCTTCTGACAGTCGAACGTCGAATCTCTCCTAACGTTTGTTGAAATGGAGTTGGATCGGCATTTCCAACGGGTCGTTTTGAATATGAACAACCGCAGGATTAACGTATTAGCCAATTACAAGAAAAATGATGGCCATGGTTTAGCAATGTTAACCAAATTAGTTCGAAGAACAGTCGAATTATTATTAATGATAATTTTGTTTTTTTTTATGCTGTAGACGAAGGTATTGCCAGGCGGTCATATTGGCTCCTTCATACCATTTCTCGCGCTAGGGAAGTCTTACTTGGCAGTGCCCATCTCCTCACCAAGTAATCTGAAACAGGTTGTTTTACGTTACATAGTACCAATACAAGACAGGATTGTATTTAGTAACACTAATTGTACTAAAACACACACACACACACACACTCTCTCTCTCTCTCTCTCTCTCTCTCTATATATATATATATATATATATATATATATCAGTTTTAATGTTTTATATTATTATGATTCACGTATATTATATATATATATATATATATATATATATATATATATATATAGAGAGAGAGAGAGAGAGAGAGAGAGGAGTGGTAATAATTCGTTGGTAAATAATCCACGTGAATTATAATAATATAAAACATTAAAAATGATTCACAAAAATAGCTCAATGTATTTATTATAACAGAGCATATAAATTACATAAAATAGAAATCCAAAATTATCTCATTCGAATAGCTATTTCAGGCAACAAGACTTGTTTATTAGTTTTGTCAACTCAGAAGCATGAAGAAATAAAGGAGCTTAAAATTTAAACATTTAAAGAACAAAAGAAGAAGAAGAAGAAGAAGAAGAAGAAGGAGAGAGAAAGAGGAAATAAAAAAGAAAGAGTGAAAGAACAAAAAGGAAGCTGTAGATGAGAATATAGACGTAGATTTAAACAAACTCACAATATCATAGTAGGAGAAGTGGGAGAGTCGAGTTCAAGTTAAAGAGTTAAAATAACCTTGACCTATATTTTAAAATATTAACATCTCAACTTAGGTTGAAACAGAATCACAAAATTAAAGACACAAGTTCAAACAATTTTAAAAATTAAAAAGAAAATAATAAATATTAGTTCTAAATCAAAGAACAAAAAAATATACTTTCTCCTTTTTTTAATGAAAAAAAAAACTCCCAAATCTATGCTAGCAAAAAAATAGGAAAAACATGAGTAGTTTATATAAGGAAAATTACTTAAAAGTATTTAAAAATTTAAGATTTTTTTAAATAAAATTTAAAAAAAAAATAAGTAAAAAGGTAACATCTAAAATTAAAAATTATTTCTTATTACTATAAAAGGTATTTGTATTTTAATTGCTACACGCAATTGAGTTGCTAAAGGGTGTGTATATATATATATATATATATATATATATGTGTGTGTGTGTGTGTGTGTGTGTGCTTGTGCTTGTGCTTGTGTGTGTGTGTGTGTAAAACAATTTTTTTACGTTGTCAGCCAGGATATTTCTTTGTAATTATAATTTTGATATCAAAAGATAGAGCATTAATAGTAATAAATAAAATTAAATCTTCACTTATCTTGTTCCTATTCTGGATTTCCAGTTTTACACCCACTGTTTAGGGAACTTGATTGTAAAATTGTAAATTTTACAGTAAAGTCCGCTAAAGCTTGGTTGTAATTCAAAGTAGAGTCAACGAAGTGAATATTTAATATTATTTAATTATTATTATTAATTCCTATATATTAGGACCTTGAATAAGTTTTTCTATAACGCATCTATAAGGAAGTACTATAAGCAACCTTGAAATTCAGTGTATGTCATCACGCTGAAGTGTAAATATGTGGGATTTTGTGCCAAAGAAAGTATATTTGCGGGGAATTTTACTGCACTACTTTATTCAAAAGAAATCTGCAGCTGAAGCACACAGAATTCTTGTTGAGACTCACGGCGACCATGCTTTGTCGGAAACACATAAACATTTAGTTGCACGCACACACACACGCACGCACACACACACACACACACACACACACACACACACACACACACACATATATATATATATATATATATATATATATATATGTAAAATCCGTGGGTAAGTAATCCAAGTGAATCCTAATAAAAATATTAAAATGCTGAAACTGATACACAAATAGAGCTCAATGTATTTAATACAAAGCATATATATATAGCCAGTTCACCCTAACGATCTGTGTAGGTGAAACCTAGGCAGGTTTGTCTGGCTCTTTAGGTTTTCTTAGTTTGCTCTACTTTTGCTTAGTAATTTTACTGTACTCGTGCAGGAGGTTTTTTTCTTTGGACTCTGAACTTTGATTCTAGACGATTATTTTCACTGGAAGTACATGTTCTTAGTTCTTTTTTTTTTTTACCCTTTTTCCTTGGGTATTAGTTTGTTCATTTACAAGCTAAAACACCTAAAGTTTTGCCGGACGTGTATAGCTGCTTATATTTATAAGATTACTATATATATATATATATATATATATATATATATATATATATATATATATATATATATATATATATATATATATATATATATATATATATATATATATATTTTATTGTTGAAACTCTCACATATATGCGGGATAATTGTTATTGAGGCTAGTCTTGTTGACCATTACCAAGGAGTAGTGATTTCGATCCTCACTGGGTACCCCATACAAAGTTCGACATTAAATAACCCAACAGGGGTTGACACGTATAGGGCACCCAGTGCGGATATATATATATATATATATATATATATATATATATATGAAGAGGGTACATTCAGTGAAGATCGAACCTACACAATTAGTGATGGTTGTCGAGACATAGCTTGTTAACTATTACATCACGGCAAGTCCCCAGTTGCTAATGTCCCTTATTTAAATTGCGTCAATTCAGTTCTTTCGTTTCATTTTGTTTATTCTTTTCTTTTCTTTCTTTTTTGACAAATTTGTTTGCAAACGGAAGATTTTCGATAAACACTTCCTCCACACATTCATGCACCAACATCCGCGCATGCGTATTCTCTCTCTCTCTCTCTCTCTCTCTCTCTCTCTTTTCTTATCAATAGTAGCCACATAAACAATCTGTCTTTGTTGATACAAAAAAAAAAAAAATGAGTTAAACAGATGACCAAATATATTCAGCTAGATTAATCCCGCGAGATCTTTGTGATTTTTTTTATTTTTATTTTATTTTTATTTATTTATTTATTTATTTATTTTTTTTTTTAAATATTTGCATAAATTACTGCCGGCTTTTCCTTTAAGCAAGTCTAACTTAATCATATTTCCGATTCCGAAATTTTGCAAGACGTTGATTTCGATCATGAATTATCTTGTCTGGAAAAAATATACTTGTAGCTTATTGAAATTTCATATCAGTAGTAAGTGATTGCTTACCCTGGAGATCAAGCGACACCAAGTCTATTCAGTAAGCCAAGGGTCTCCTCATTATTATTAGTTGTAGTTTTTGTCACTTGGTACTCTAATGTCAGTCTGTGTGCAAACTTTTTTCTTTTCTGTCTTTGATAATAACATCTGGGCGATTTGCATGTATTGTTCAATCTGATAGAAGAATCCTAGAGGATGATGTAGCCCTATTTCTTTATTTCCATTATTATTATTATTTTTATTATTATTGATCGAAAGAGCAGTACCCCAATTGACTGACCCTGGGGTACAAATATACGAATCCTAATATACCCATCATGGCACCCAGTCTGATGCATCGCAACCACATTATTATTATTATTATTATTATTTTTATTTCCTTTGATTTCTGGCGTTTACACATTTCATTCCGGGTCCCGCCCAGGGACTTAAGGTTAGAAATGACATCATGACACTTTCCACTGAAAAAAAAAAAAAAAATACATAGATAAAGCCCTTCGTAAAGTGTGGGCTGTACTTGTGAGAACAATTTTTTGTATCTCTTTGAGGCATGGACTTCCAGGAATCCCTTCAATTAGTCTACTGCAATCTTTTCCAACCAGTCCTAGGGCTCCAACTACAACAAGGATTGTTGATGTTCCCACGTGCCACATTTTTTAGATTTCTTTATTATTATTATTATTTCCTTTGATTTCTGTTGTATACACATTTCCTTCCGTGTGCCAACCAGAGACCTAAGGTCAGAAATGGCTTTATTCCACTGATCATTTTTGTAAAATAAAACAAAAAACTAAGATCACATACATTTTACATATATAAAGCTCTCCGTTGGACCCTCGAGGCGGTGTAATGGTTAGCAAGCTTGGCTCGCTAGAACAATTACGATTGAGTAGTGAGTTCGATCCTCACTAGGTACCCCCTTATTTTGGCCTTGTGCCACGTCTAAGCTACGCTTGGAAAATCACTATAAAGCTCTTCGTAATGTGTGAGTTGTTCTTGTGAGTACAATTTTT